GCATGCACACCCCGTCCTTCCCATGCCCCCAGCTCCCCTCTCCCGCACCCCCGCGTGCCCCGTCCCCTCCCTCCCTCCTCCCTCTCCGGCTGGCGTGGCCCCCCGCCCTCCCTCCCTCTCGCTGCCCCCCCTCCTCCTCTTGGCGCCTTGTAGTGACGCCCCTCCCTCCTCCCTCTTTGGCACCGGCACGGCCCCGCCCTCCCCTTCCTCTCCGCCGCGCCCACCTCCCCTCCCTCTCTGGCTCGGCCCCGCCCTACCCTCTCTAGATCTGGCGCCTCCCTCTCCGGATCCGTGGCGCTTGCATTCTCCCGGCCTCCCTCTCCAGATCCCGGTGGCGGGCGTGGTGGTGGTGGCGGGCTTGGCTGCTTGGCGGCGGCTTCTGGCGTGGCGTGGCGGCCTGGGCATGGTGGCGGCCTAGGCGTGGCGGCGGCCTGGGCGTGGTGGCGCTTGGCGTGGTGGTGGTGCGGCATGGTGGGGCGTGGTGGTGGCGGCGCGGCGAGAGGGAGGAGAAGACGGTGGCTTGTTTTTTTTTTATTTTTTCTGAAAATTGTTTGCGAGTGTTTTTGGGCACTCGGCAAAGTCTTCTTGAGTGCCCGATTAAAAACACTTGGCAAAGTTAGTTTTGCTTGATAGAAATTTTTGCCGTGTGCCCTTTGCCGAGTGTTACACTCGGCAAAAGGTTTGTCGAGTGTTTTTGTGGCTTTGCCGTGTGCCGTGCTCCACTAACACTTGAATGTTATATGCAATGTGAGTCGAAAAACTTGTGCTGTGTAGAGACCCCAAAATGTTTCACTGAACACAAAATTCGTAAATGTTCTATCTGCGTCTAAATGACTCATGTGTTTCCTAATATCACAATATAGATGATCCACATATATATCTTTTTGTTTGATGCTGATGAGCAATAAATTTTGTTAAAGTCCTTGCAAAGGTGCCAAATTAAGAGCAATCACCATTCGTGAAAAGCTAGAAAGAAGGTAGTACAAAATTTATACCAAACTTTTTACCTTTTGGTATCTTCTGTAGAAAGGCTCGCTCCTGCTCACCCTCACATAGAATTTTTACCGGCCTTAGCCTTTTGGTATTTTTGTGCTGTTTAAACTGAGCCAGCCAAAATGGGCAATTAAATTGTGTTGACTTGGTTCACTTACACTAAGAAAACAGAATATTCTGGATTTGACTTACCAGCGAATCAGGAACATACACAATTATCTTGTGTCGACTTGCATCACTTGCTGACACGTATGCACCTACGACATCATTTGACTTCGATTTGGCTCTTTAAAAAATCTCAGCTGCATCTCCTTGCACGTGATCACCACTACTACGAGCTTGTCTGCATACCCATATGTACCGTATCTTCTACAATAAGTAATATATGCCAGTATCCCAGTCCCTATAGTAGGCCATTTATATATAAGATTAATTAGTATCAGTTTGTGACTTGTGAGCTACCCTAATCATGCTCATGGGAGTTAACTCTAACAGCCACTCCAGTTGTTAGCAGCCTCAGGGGCAACACACCACTTAGATATATCCATATATGTAGGTCAATTTCTTGATGCAACGATGAATGCACACAAAGATAGTGACGGTCGAGCAAATCCCCCTGCCATGTTCCTCTTACATAGTTCCTTTTTTATATTTATATTATATTGGAGTGTTCCTTGTTTATATTTATATTATACTAGGGTCTTGTTGCCGACATACGACTCAACACACACTATATATATGCATGAATTTGATGCTCAGATAGCAAGAAAAAAAATACATGAGAATCATTATTTGCGATACGTTGACACTGGACAATCAATGGCCGGCTTAGGTCAATGGCACATTTGATTTTTGTAAATTTTTGTCATCTAGCTCAAATGGCCAGATGGAACTTTCTTTTGAGTATCTCAAACTGAGAAACAGCAAAGATATCGACGGCACACCGAGATTGCTCTATCCAATGTAGTCGCTAGCTGGGCCATGTATAGCACAGATAACACATTCTAGGCCCAATGTCGTTCTCATGCAAAACTGTTTGTTAAACATGTACACTAATAGAAAATATAAAACTATTAGAAACCGTCTCACAAATTTCAACATCTGATGCATGCATTTCATCCTTAGATGGATAGTAGTATATATATGGAACCGGTCCAAGAAATGAAGTGCAAGAATTCCGGCTGAGAAAACACAAAGAAATTGAGCTCAATGTGCACTGGAGTGCACTATTGAAGCTCTCCGATGAAGGCACCAAAAGAACATGAAGTCAAGTCTGAGGCTAGCTGCTGAAGAGTGCACCAGAACCCTTCGATGAGGCATCAAAGCTTCAGTACAAAGAGTACTGCACAGTCGTAGTGGAGAAGATAAATATCATTAGAGCTCTCCAACATGCAAGGCATCGGGTGAGCACCAGAAGATAAGGTGCGATCAAGTGAAGAAATGAAGGCTAGGACAATGAACACTCTCCATTATGGCACTGGAAACATCACTGGGGAGATGAAGCAGCAAACGTCGGATTCCAATGGCTAGTACATATGGCATCACCAAACATCTCTGGTGCTCACTACAAAAGTGGAGTTCGTGCACAACGGCTAGTTTGGGAAGTTGGGGTTATATATACGCCTGTACATGGTCATTTCTAGGGTGTTAGAGTGTGCTGAAGCGGCTAGTGTGTGGACGCTTTCATCCAAGTGCTTAGGGGAAATTTAGGTGATTAGTGTTAGTGCTTTGTGAAGGGCTTATGCTAGTTTAGACCAAAAATTGAACTTTCTCTAGGCTTATTCTTAGTGCTTAGTGACGCCTGCATAGCTCTTGCTACTCGGTGCTTGCACGCACCTAGCTTGTACTCCAAGGATCTTGTAATCTTGTGGGGTCACACCAATCGTGTCCGTGGTGTAGCCGCCAACGGTGTACCAAGGGAACGAGACTTGTGGAGTATTGGTCGGAAGCTCGGTTGTGAAGACAGTGAGGAGCGGTCCAGGAGAAGGACAGATGGGGACCCACTTACTGTGCGTAGGGAAGTCCTATGAGCTATGCACGGAGTTATCCAACCAGGAGCTTAACCCTTTCGTGGGGTCCAACAAGGACTAGGGAAAGCATGAACTTCTCGATACCTCTAAAAAAATTCACTACACCATGACACACATTTGCCTACACTTATCTGTTGGCAAAAGGCGGGTTTCGGCTACACTTTATGTGTTGGCAATTCTATGAGTTTTTAACGTCAATTCATATGTCGGTAAAAGGACTATAGGACAACAAGTTATCGGTCGGCGTTTCCCTGCTGACATAAAAATTGTCGGCGAAACTTTTTTAGACTTAATAAGTGTCGGCGTAGTGTTCGCCAAGAGTACAATGTGCGTCTGAAAATATCATCTCGCCCCAAAGAAGACCTGATCAGGAGCGAAATATCTGAGTCGCGTGCTAAAAACGTCGCTACCTGAAAACCTTCCCACCCGCCCGGTTCCTCTTCAACGCCCCTCAATCAAATCCCAAAAAGAAGAAAAAAAACACGCCTGCTGCCCCAAGCTCCCGCTGCTCCCGACGCCGCTGTCCCCACCGTCCGCCGCGCCAAAGCGCCGCCCCCCACACTGTCCGCTGCTAGGGCTGCTTGCCGGGGCCATACCCTGAGCGGAGCTCGCCTGTGCGGCTGCCTGCACTAGATCTGGCGGCGCCTCCCTCACCAACATGTCACCGCCGCCAGAGCTTCATGCGTGGCTTCCTGCGCCAGATCCAGCCGAACCTCTATGTACCCAGAGGAGAAGGCCCCACCGCCGCCTAACTGGCAACTGCACGAATGTCTGATGGCCTTCTCCGGCGTCAATGAGGTAGGGGAGAGGGGCGCGAGGGGGCCGGCGGCGGGTGTGACTCGTTGGCCCGTTCGCCCGTGTCACCCCCTTGAGGTGAGGACGATGTGGGTGGCAGTCTCAGACCTCAGTCCATGCTTTCTTCTTCGATTGATGTATCCCTTGCTCTTTTTTTATCTGAGATTGTCTCTGAGCCACATATGAGTGTCCATGAGCATATAGCCGTTCGATTTGGGGTCCTCCTGATGCCATTTGTGCGGCCGCGCATATCGTGACGCTGTGCATGCCATGTGTTTGCTTCGTTGCCTCACCCACCAGGCCATTACAGTGTAGTCCATTCCTCTTTGGTTATGTTTGTTGTTTTGGTGCATCCCAGTGCTTATGCTTAGTTTTGATAGCAGTGCAGGAGGCTACAATAGTGAAACGGGCACACAAAGGAGGAGGGGTTCTGCTTGAAAGGTAGATTAATGCCTCTTTTATTCTTGCTGCTATAGTGTATTTGCATCTTGACGTTTTGTCCAGCATTCAGTTCCACCTCTGCTCCCCATTCTGAATTTCTGATGCTCCTACAACTTCTCCTATAGTTAATAATAACTATGGTGCTCATGTTTTTAAGTGCTTATCATTCTGAATAGGTGCCTTATTTTTTCATAAGAGCATCTTTGTTGGGATCATAACTCATGGACCCGCTCTTTCATAGTTGCCATACAGATACAAGCATGTGCGGATACATCAAATAGCAACTTCTGTATATTTCCTGAGGTTATAAATGTGGCTGCATGAAGTGTATTCAAGTAACTTCAATTCCTTGTAGAATCGGCGCTGACTAAAAACTGCTGGAGAAGCAGGCTTAACCCATTAACATGCATGTTATTTATATATGTAACTAGCTGTTTTGTGCAATTGCCAATTCTTGTTTTTCTTTTCCAATTAACTATTGACAACCAGGCTTTAGAAATCAGGAGATGTGCAAACTGATTCATTTTGGAGTTGTTAGACTTTGTTGGCTCATATTAGCCCTTTTTTCTGGAATACTTAGACTAGATTCTCATGGGTTTGGAATTTTTAATTTTAGGAACAACGGAAGGAGCACTAGGTTTTCTTCTTAGGACTAGGTCTCCGTCTCGTATTAGCTTTCATCTCAGCTTTCAGTTCAAGTGGAATGTCTAAGTCCACTAAGAAATTACAGCTATAGTCTTCATGTCTGCAACAGAACAGGTAATGGCCATAGTCATGTCCGCAGCAAAAAATAATGTTTATCCATGTCTATTTATTTATTTTTATAGATGCTGATCTCAAATAATTTCAGCCATATGTGGAGTAGATAAACTTTGTGTAATAACATGTTAAGGCCTAATATATGCGCCTAGGTTTATCCATGTCTATCCATTGCAAACACATAATTGTAGTGAAGCATCAAATTTAACCAAAACATGTACGATAAACTTGCTGTAGCTTACCTATGCCAATGATCATAATATTTCGGTCACTGCAAGCAATATTGAGTTCAAAGGAACTTTCCCAGTTTTCATTTTATAAAATGTCGAGATGTCATATCAATTAAATGAAATGGAGTTGCCATTTCATAATCACAACTTCTCCCATGGTAGCACCACTTAGCACTTTTGCAGTACTTTCCATAATGAAACAGAGCATCTGTCTGCATGACTATTGCTACGTTTTGATGGTTCTTGTGAGTTCATTTCATAGCACTGGTAATTAGCAGGCTTTATATTAATAATTAATGGTCAAGATAGTGTCTTTGTGACCATGCAGCATTGCATCTGTTCTGAACAACACTTAGTTTTGACCGGATGTTTTTTTTAAATAAGCTCATAAAAGCATTTTGCTATTTGTGCTGATCAAAGTTGGGCCAAACTATAGAGTTTCTTTCATGAAAGCCTGAAATGCTGCTAATTCAGTTCTCTTCCAAGACAGTTCACTTCTTACATGATCCTAGAGGATAGTTACTGTTACTGTATACTTATTACTTCCCTTCATATCGCAACTAAAATCAAAATCGTGGTTCCTATGGTTTTATTATTCATAACATTAAGGATTCATCTTACTCAAGGTTTAAGCATTTTCCTTTTTGTCATAAAAATTTTCATTTTGACTACTACTGGTACCTGCTTGCTCTAACTAGAAGTATAGAACTGCATTGTCTGCCTACCCACCTTACTTGGGCTGCTGCCTTGCTGGACTAGTTCCCGGGCTAGGAGTTTTTTGGTCACCATCCTATTAGGATCACCAATTATGGCTAAATTGTGGTGGCTGAGTAGCGCCCAGCGCCTTGGCGACCCAGGTGGCTTCCTTTTAGAAAACTGATTATCTTGAACTTTTAGCTATGCTGAAATCATAATCATTAGAGGCCCATTCCACATAGCTTTGAAGTTCTTCAGTGCTATCTTATTTTACTCCATGTTCGTATCATAGACAATATTGGGGATTCCTGCCATCACGTCAAAGAGAATCTTGGTCAAGTTACAATGTTACATATCTTACTGTTTTTTTTGCCTCTTCTGCTGTTTTTCTGTTGTTGCCTATTCACAAATATTTCAGTTATGTTAGCTTTAAGTTGTGGAAACGGGAAACCTCTCACCTTGATTAGCAATTTAACTTGTTTAGCAAACAGGATTTATTTCAGGAGTGATAAATCATGGTATAATTCTTAATGCTTTATTATTAACATTGGCAACAATATGGATTCTATCTGTGTGAATCTTTCAAGAGAGTACTTCTGAGGTAGTTCCACATGATATTGTTATCTACCATTCTACCTTCATTATTGTACTACCTGTCAGGCTGTCACCGTTAGCATTTTTCTTCTTTTTTTTGTTTTGTTTTGAAGACATTTTCTCTTTGAACAGATTTATGTCTTTGTACAACATGGCACATTCTTTTCTCATCCTTGAGTTTGGTTTCTTAATGTACCGTATTTATTTTCCTTGTCCAGCTTGCAAAGAAGGGAGAAAAATTCATTGATCTCCCTTATGTTGTGAAGGGTATGGATGTGTCATTTAGTGGCATATTGAGTTTTATTGAAGCTATGACGATTGAAAAGCTTAAAAATAATGAGTGCACACCTGCAGACCTATGCTACTCATTGCAGGTACTCGCATGCTCTTGACTTTCTCCCCCTTATGGATAATAATTGGTTATGCTTTGTTGACAGCGACACTGATGAAAGTCATAATTTGCTCAGGAAACTGTCTTCGCCATGCTTGTTGAAATTACTGAACGTGCAATGGCGCACTGTGATTCAAAGGACGTTCTTATTGTTGGTGGCGTCGGTTGCAACGAACGTTTACAGGAGATGATGAGGATTATGTGCTCAGAAAGAGGGGGTAGGCTGTTTGCAACTGATGACCGCTATTGTATAGACAATGGGGCAATGATTGCATACACTGGTTTACCGGCGTATGCACATGGTGTGACCACTCCCCTGGTGGAGTCGACATTTACGCAAAGATTCCGAACTGATGAAGTTCATGTGATTTGGAGAGAGAAGGAGATGCCGGTGCTAAATAACATCCATTCAAATGCAATGGCTGAAGTATCTAAAGATGAAGCCTCCATGCCGACACTTATTGATGGGTAAGAAATAATGGACTTCCACCGGACTTTCTTTGTTTTTGTTAGAGCAGCTTATCTGTTTGTGTACCATTTAACTTTTAATGTTTGTTTATACTCTTTATGTTACAATCACTGTGAGTCTAGACATTTTAGATATGTTGGCAGCTGTCACAAATTTATCCTTCTAGGCTTCAAGTAGAATGGAAGTTGTCCCCTTATTTTCACTTATATCTTATATTGCAGGCAGCTCCTTACAATACACTTTTCTTTTTTGTATAACAGGTACGTCCTTGAGGGTAAAGAGCTTGAGTTCTACATGAAGCTTCAGCGCAGGAAGGGCAAGGGCGCTACAGCTTAGAGCATTCTCATGGATGGTCCTCCACGGAAATGTGTGGCCTATTAAATATTACTCTGGCTTTTTTTGTTAGTCGTCTCAAGTTCAGAACGTCTATGTCATGTTTTGCAGACCTGATGAGAACACTGTTTTCCGAAAATGAATCAACTCTATCTAGCTCCTAAGAATTGAGATTTTCCTTCTATATGAATAACAGTGGATTTGTCAAATTATTCAAATTGTATGTATATCTATATCTGCAGTACAGTTTTGCCGATAGTTTAGTTGTTGGATAGGGCATGATTCACAAAATACCTTGAAAATGGTTTCGCCAACACACAAACTGTCGGGAAAGGTCCAAACTGTCGGTGTAGGTCTTAACTATCGGCAAAGGGTTAACTGTCGGCAAAGGTTTCAACTGTCGGCTTAGGTCCACCATTTAGCAACACAAAAAGTGTCGGCGATTCCTTTAACTGTCGGCGAAAGTTTCACCCACAGCTTGTAGCGCGACTGTTTCTAAACTGTCGGCAAAACCTTTCACGAGAGGTTATCTGTCGGGAAAGGTACCCTTTGTCCACTATAAAAAGTGTCGGCAAAGGTATGTTGTGTTATAGTGATTGTCACTGTGGGAGTTTGCTTATCTCTATCTCATTACATTTCCATTCTTACTTGCTTCCCTTAGGTTGTGTGATTTACCTTCCTAGTCTAGCTTGCTAGGTTAGTTGACAGCATCGGACCTAACATGCAAAACTCTTTTGCATTAGAGATAGAAACACCTAGCAAAACCGTAGTGCATATTTTAGATAGTATCTTGCATAGGTTTTGATATGTATATTTTAGAGGCAATTAGTTTTAAGTTACCTAGTCCCCCCCTCCTCTTAGGCATCATAGACCCAGCAGTTGTGTTGTCATCTAAATCATAGAAACCATGTGTGACCATGCATATGGGCACATGATCCGTACAATCAAGAGCAATGGTATGCCCTCTACTAGGTCCCTAGCTTATATACTAGCAGCTTGGATGTCAGATACCATTTGGATTTACCTCGGACCAAGGTTTTAGATCTCCGGCTATAGCTTCCGCTATCTCTGGCTATAGCTGTTTGAGAAGGATTTAGCTAAGTTTTTCCATGTACATGTTAGCCCTTAACTGCCGCTATAGCCCGATATAGCCGGCTATAGCCTGTTTTGGGACATAGAAAGCTAAATGTCTTAGCCAGCTATTTAAAAACATGTCCCAGACTAATCTATCCTTGAGAGGTTCACCTATTCATGAGTAAGTGGGGTTTTTTTACAACTACAGATTAAATCCTTCATGGTTTCCCTGCAAACAAAAGAAGATGTGTGCTTTGTCAGGCAACATTTTTGGACTTGTTCAACGGAGATGACTAAAGTAGGCTCATGCCAAGACATTGTCAAGATTGCAACAACCTGATCACAAAGGACATAGGAGCTACATTGGATGATACGACCCGTAGGTATTACCACAGAGGACAAACCTGGCTTCCTAGCTATAGTGCTGGCTAGTATGAAGCCCCCCCTAAAATATGAGGCGCCAAGCAATACAATCGACAAACCCTGGACATTTGGTATACCTCCCCACATGGACCAGAACCTATGGAAACTTTGTGTACTATGTCCAACCATCAAGTTCTTATTGTCATGCTACGCCCCATAATTATCAACCCATGGCAAATACACTAACAAGTACCAATAGGGTCTGTAGCCGCAATAGGTTGGACCCGTTTTCATTTGTTTCTAAGGCTAGTATTTGTGTGTTGCTCTGAAGTAATCAAAGTTAACGCTAATCGTTAATGTCACAAATACACTTGGGTACAAGGTGGACCTTGAACCCTCTATATCCTTCTATACTTTATTTTTTTGTCTTCGATCCTCAAACCAAATTTGATTTGTAGTTAATCACCTCTCCTTCCCCATAAAATTTGATATTGTGGAATACTCAAAGCTACATTGGTGTCTTTATGCTTGTTGATTTATCTATGTAGCTAAAGACTGTCAACATTTAACCTCAATGGGTCTTGGTGCCTAGGACAGTGCCTATGTAAATAGAATAGGCCCTAGGGGAATCACTATAATTCATTCTCTCCAAGACATTATAATTATATATTCATGGACTGGTGATGAGATCCGAGTTTTTCCTAGTCAAAATGGTTTGTCTCCCACTCTTTCTTCCACTTATCTCCAAGCATTAATCTATTTTCCTACTTACTCTCTCCCTCTTTCTTGCACTTATCTCCAAACATTAATCTCTCTTCATATTGACTCTCTGCCTAAGGTTATTGACAACCATGATTTGTGATGGCACCACCAACTCTAAATTTTGTGTGCCATGTGGTTTGTGAATAATGTTTTGTTTTATAGGCTAATGGTTCATGTAGGAAATTATGATGGATTCTCTTTTTGTATAATTACCTAGCTTGTTTAATACCCCTAAAAATTTCATTTTGGTCCCTGATCTACTGTGGTGTTCGAGTAGAGGTCCAAATCCTTCCACACCACCTCTAGATGCCTATGTGTCTGTGCTAGCATGAATGAAATTTGCTAAAAAGTATCTCCTTCCCTATCCACTCCATTTTCCTCCTTCGCACCGCACATAGACTCCACGCACGCCTCTGTGTTCTGCATCTCGGCCATCGCGCTTGCCAGCGTCACTCGCCCCTCATCGGACTAGCATGATGTGGCATGGCATGGGGTGGCTCGGATGTGCCACGGTTGGCATGACAGGGATCATCTTCAGAGCTCTAGCTTGTCAGCCAACTCCCACTTTTCCACCTTGACCCAAGCTATTGAAGTGCACCAATACCTTTGCCACCCTCTTATCCTTCCTATGTGCTCACTCTTCAATCCAATCCAAGCCAGAGGCCCACGTGCTGCCACTGCTTCATTACCTACCTCACCAGACTGCCACTAATGTCTCCTTGGTGTCTGTCTCCATCACAACAACGCTCCTTCCTCAAACCACAACGCTACTTATCTCCATACGTCTAGGATCCCGCTATGAACATGTGAATGTATCTAGGCCCCAATTTGGTGCTATGGTGTTTTGGCGATTGATGAACACAACTAATTTGTGTTTTGCAACGGTAATCCCATTTGAGTTAGTCACAAGTTGATTGGTCACAAGTGTCTTGGCCCCAAATAATTGGATTGACGACTGGGGTAAGGCGTATAGGATATTCTTGAAGACTAAGGATACTATAGAGCCAATTTAGGCTTGATGCTTGGATATTAAAGCTTTATTTTTTCTTAGGTTATACTATTAAAGGGGTCCAAGACATTCATCTTAAGGGAGCTTAAGTGAGAGCATTTGGATACACTAGAGGCTAACTCATTGTTAAGATCATTTTCAAGTCAAAGATCTCAAAGAAGTTAGATTGATCGAGATTAGTCTTGAAATGGACATTGAGTTCTTGATGTTTGCCACATGCACCATTGTTGACAGAATATAGTCGGTAGTCCTCCGAGGGATATCCCACGAAGGTAGACTGATTGGTAGAGATGCGTGTAATCCAGAACAAGAAGGCAATAGAGACACAAGAGTTAGACAGGTTCGGGCCATCAGCACGACGTAATACCCTACTCCTGTGATATGTTGGTTTGTATTAGCTGTCGTATGATATTGCCTATGTTTTGAGGGGGTCCCCTACCCGCCTTATATAGCTGGGGGTAGGGTTACTGGTCAGTAAGATCTGGGAGATAACCGGTAAGTAATAACAGATTACATGAATCACGGGATCGTAACATATCCTAACAGATTATGCCGTATCTTCAGGATATCTTCCCGGAATCTTGCGGGGCGCGTCGAGCAGCGCCATGCTCCACAAGGCTAAGTCTTGTGAGCTAGACCACCCCTGGCAGCACAGCCCATGTAGTCTGCCATGGGTATCCGGGGTCGTACCCCACACAGCTAGTCCCCGAGCGCCTTGTATCCGCTGTGCAACGCCGTCTTGAGCTTGTCCAAGCAGGTGTAAACAAAGCCGAGCAGTCAGACTCATAGTTCAACCACCCTAATGATTCGCCGAGTAGTTGTGAACCATGACCGACCAGCTTAATTGTTGGGCCAAGCACGGGCTTACTCAAGTAAGGCTTGCCAGAAGGATGTAAGGAGCTCAAGTTCAAAATAAAAAATTTCTTCGAAGTGAACCAATTGTGCCCACTTAGAGTCCGACCACGAGAAGGGAGATAATCTTCTTCATCTTCAGGAGGTCGGAGTCTTCCAGATTAAAGAAAACACACTCACCGCAAGGTGAAGTGTGCCCACTTAGTCCCCGAGCCTAATAGTAGGTGACGTAGTCACGTAGTGCCAGGGTCTAGAAAGTAGAAGAAAGGCAAAAGACCAGCCGAGTAGGCAACTAGTCCACAGGCGGAACCCTGAAATGAAAAGCGCACATTCACCGCAAGGTGAAGTGTGCCCACTTAGTCCCCGAGCCTGATAGTAGGTGACGTGGTCATGTGGTGATAGGGTCAGAAACAACAGTAACAAAAAAAGTCCCCAATATGGTGAGGGACCGAATCATAATGATGGCGTAGTCCCCGAGCCATAAGTGCAAATCTCGGATAAATCAAGGACCGATTACGCAATCGTGGAGAAAAAATCGGAGTAATGGCTGTAAAGTAAAAATTACTGAGCCTTGATGACATTGCGGAGAATTCAGCGAATATTCGGTGTGCAGTACCAAGTTGTGTCGAAAAATGGGCGATGTGGGCCGTAGTTGCGCGGAAGCCCAATAACGGCCCAGCACGCTTCTTCGGGAATTCGGAAGGGCGCAAATCAGCATGGTGCGATTCCCCAAAAACCCTTGAATGCGAAAGTGGGTACAGTGTCTTTATAACCGTGTCGCCGCATTTCGTGCTCCCACCTTTGCCACTCGGCCACTTCGTATTCCTCCTAGCCCTCACACTCCCCCATTCACATTCACACATGCTCTGCAGCTAGGGCTAAAAAGCTTATGCAAATTGTCCAGTTCCGATCCAGATCTGAGGGATGGCGTCAAAGAGGGGAG